GTAGTGAACCAATTGGGTTGTAATGAATGTGCGCGCCTGCAGGCCACTCCGAGCAACAGCCTGTTGGACCAAGCTCTCAGAAGTTAAGCCTGGCCCCAGGCCAGGCTTGGGAAGTAAAACCACCAGAACCCCATCCAGGTACAATTCAAGTACAGTCTATGAGTATGAGCAACCTCATGCTTATGATGATTGGAAGTATTCCACTCTTTTTGGCTGTATACACGAATATGTCCATGGCCGATATTCGGCACTGGAATTTTGGAGGTCAAACAGGGTTCTGGCGGCCTGATGTTTTGTAACTGTGCCTGGGCCTTGGCACCGTTGTGTGGCCTTGGGTTGTCTTTCTCACCCAAGATATCCCTTCTTCATCCTGACTCCTACAGTGCTCCCTCCTCCTTGGTACTAACTTGCTGGCACTCTTCTCAACACCAGCACCCACCACTGTGTTCTGGTAGTAACTCTCTGGCTCTCTTCTCAACACCAACACCTGCCATAGTCTTCTGGTGCTAACCATGTGTTTTTCCTTCACCATGGGTAGTTAACTTCATGGAGCCACAAGGAACTCCCTCCAAAAAACCAGTGTTGAATGTAATGAAATACAGTACTAATTTCTGGATAAGCCCCGGTGGCTCCCCAATTCCATCCCTACCCTCCAGGTCATTAACCCTTAGACCCCGCATATTACAGTGAATATAGTATACTATATTATAGAATATAGTATACAACGAATATAGTATATTACAGCATAGTAGCGAAAAATATTCAAATTATGTAAAAATAACTTAAAAATGTTAAACAGTGCAGCTTACTGGCTTCAGTGTTGTGAACCTTTTATCAAAATGTTTTCAGAAATTGATTTTAGACAAATTTTTGAAAAATAAAAACGTTGTATTGATAAGAACAGCTCCTAATAACTGGAATGGAAAGATTATGCAGTGATAAAGAGATGCAAGCACCTGTCCTATGCTCAAAGAAGAACCATAATACTGTAGTGAGAAGTGTCCACAAAGTAGATATGCAGTTGGTGCCTTTATATCATTGCTGAGTAATACATAATAACACAAATAATATTGAATAACTATGTTAATATGATCTTTGTTATATATCATATAAATACATTGTTCAATGTTAATATATGTTACTTTCATCAATGTCCCAAAAATATTTTTTTATGGGAATTTTTTTATTTTTTTTTTTTCTCCTTTGCTTATTATCTGATTTTGTTGTAACCTTTACATCCTGGAAATGCATGTGTTTTCATAATTATGTGAAGATAGAATGAAATTGGTCAACAAATAAATCGGTTACAACTCGCAAGACTTAGAACTTTTAATTTTTTTGGCTGATTTTTTCTCTGATTTCAAACTATTTTCTTTGTCTTCTTAAGTTGTTTTGATGATTAGGGACCATATTAGGGCTTTTTCACTTGTATAAAGTATACCCTAAATATGTCCCCTAAATCATTATAATTATAATACTGTAATTATCCCTATATTTTTTTTTTTTGGGGGGGGGGGTTATTTTTCTTGACTTCATTTCAACACATACTGACCTACAACTTTCAAATATTCAAGTACAAATGCCAAATAATGTTTATTAAAACATACAATTAAATTAACTTATTAAAACTACATTTATTGTTGATAACTTCAGTTATCTCTGAAACCAGAGTTTCATCTTTGAGTGGCTTCTAAAATTCCAGTTTTAACCGATTCTCACTATTTTGACATGTGTGCGCTCAGCTGTATGTTCTACAATTACATCAGAATGAATTTTTCATAAACTTTATACATTTGGAGTTATAATTTTTTTTTGGTTTAAATTAGCCGCATACAAACTGTATTTCAAATGCCCTATTGATGATTTTTTTACAGAAAACTACAGTATACTGAAAACCTATATTCTACTTTAATGAAAATGCAGATCATATGCTATTCTGAGAGAATAATAACATTAAATGAACAATTAATAATAGTTCATATTTTTTTTATTCTGAATTGAAAATCTGAAGTTTTCAATGTTCTACTGTATTTTAAAATTATTTTGATTCTCGTTTTTGAAGTTACGCTGTGATCATTTAGACAAAGTTGGAGCATTTACCTAGATGATTATGCAAAAAAAAATTGGAGAGTGTTTGTGCAAGTTTTAAAAAATTATGTTAGATTATTTTTTGTCAAATCATATATGTATGTATTGCGCAGTCTAAGGGTTAAATGGGTGAACAATTTGCGTTAAGTGGGTGTTTGCATCTGTTCTAGAACTGACAGCTCAGACCCTGGCAAGCGATGAGCTGCTTTTCCTCTTTCCCCAAATGACTGGGGGAGGTGGGGTAAACGAGCTCGCACTGATTTCAAATGAATTTGATAATTTCTTTACATAGTAGGAGGCGTTCATTGGGTGGGTTATTAGGCTTTAGTCTCTTGAATCCAGAGGTTGTTTGTTTTGCCATGCTGACGTTCTGGTTCCCTTCCCCAGTGAGGTAGTGGAATGTCACCGCTCCCTGCACCTCTGTGAGGGGGTGGCAGGTTCTAATTCCAGTGCCTGGTAGGCCTATAGAACTTCACAGCTTATGCAATCTAGTAGATGGGGAACCATCTTATTTAATAGCCTTTGGGAGCTACCAGGGCTCACCCAGAAATTGGCATTTTATTACATTCAACTCTGATTTTTTACATGAATTTTTGTTTCCTGGATGCTAGAAAAGTGTGTTAGAAAAACTTTTTTTTTTTTTTTTTAATAGAATAATGTTGCACTGAAATTGCCTGTACAATTTGAGGGTTAAAAAAAAAAATTGCCATCCCCCTATACAGTACTGAATATCTTTCCAAGTAACCTTGCTTTTTTTTAAGTTATTTTCTCCAGCTGTCTCTATTGGCATTTAGATTTTCCAGTACAGTATTTGTTTTCTGGACAATATTTTAAGTGTCTTGGTGGATTTACAAGAAACTTTAAATACTGATGTAACAGTATAATACAATATACTGTATTCTGTAATTTAGAGATCAGTAGGATCCACCTGATGGCTCTTTGGAAATAAACATTACCTGATAATTGGAAGGAGCTTTGGATTTGCACCATATTCTTGATAATGAAGACAATGTTTTGCACCAAAGTTTGTATATAGAGTCAAGAGGGAAATATCTCTAATTGTATTAGATATTATTTATGTACTGCACTATAGATAGAGCTAAAGCATTGTTAAGAATTTTTTTTATATAGAGCAAGTACTTTAGCAGTAAAATGATTTACTAACAATGTAGTGATGTAATAAAAGTAGAAAGAATCATGCCATTCATTGTGTTTAATACTATGTTGTAAATTTTTTTGTGCATTCACTTGTATACATTTGACCAATTTACCTTTTAATTGTCCATATACAGTACTATTTTGCATTCCTGTGAAATACAATATAGCACCTGTAAATTTTGTAATTGTGCATCACAAGATACATTAACCACTGTGCTACGCCAACCGAGAAAACTCAGTCGGTGGGAAACTGCGCAAACCGAGAAAACACCGTTTGAATATTTCGTACCCATTCAAAATGTGTGCGCGGTAGGTTGTGTATAAAATGGACTCGTGGGACCTCCAGTGAGAGGCAGCTATCTTGGAAAAAATTCCCAGAATGTCCTAGGGCTACTGGCTGGCTTAGTGCTGAGTGAGCAACCATGGGTGGCGCACGCATCTCTGGCTCCCAAACACCTGTCTGACGCGGTGTTAAAAATGGCTCTCTGTCGGTGAAATTCAAACCTTATTGTTTGAAGAACATAAGGGTCATGATATTGATGAAGCTAGGCGCATTGAGGACCTAACACAAAAGTCGGTTGCAAGTGATACAGCACCGATGAGGACGATATAGTGAGTGTATCCAGTTGTAGCTTTGAGTAGCTCTTGCCCACCCATGCCATCTCCAATTTTTATAGATGATACATAGATGAATCATTTTCTGGGTTCAGTGATGAGGCATCTTATACAAGTAGCATAGATGAACATTGTTAGCGGCTTCCATGGTGTTTTCCATATATATTTTCAAGAATAGCCGAATCTCTTCTAGAATGGCTGAATCTCTTCCTGATTGACTGAATCTCTTCCTGATTGACTGAATCTCTTCCAGTGAGGGACCTTACAAAGCCATCTTTTTAAGACTACAGTACTTACAAATTGATCTTTTCCTATAATCTTTTCAAGACTACCTTATGCTTCACAAGCTTGGCTACATATCATCTACAGGTACTAAAGCCAAAGGTGTACATGAATGTGTTATTTGCAAGCACACAGAACAAAGAAACAGGAAGCGAAAATCTGTCTGTACCTGGTGCAACAAGAACAGTCGTGCTGTGTACCATGGACTGCTTCGTTGATTATCACTCACTTCTGAAGTACTGTGTGTGTAATACAGTGTAATACAGTGTAATACTGTGTAAATAGTGTGTGAATCTGTACATATTGTAATTTTAGTGAATATTTAACAAGTAATATTGCAACAATAAACATTTATTGTGGACACATTACTGACATGTATCACAGTTCCATGGAACATTATAAACATTCTGTTGTATACATATTGTAAAGTACACAAATATGCATCATATACGATAAACAAAACAAATAAAACCGCATTGGAAATACGTAGAACAAATAACTGGAAATAAATTTGTGGCAACTTGCGGTGCTTGAATGCCGCGTGCAACTGCCTCTGGAAGCTTTATGCATGGGCGACCAGCCCGTGTTGCCAAAGTAAGTGGAATTTTTTAGTTTTTTTTTTTTTTTTTTTTTTACATGTATGTGTTCAGGGAAGGGAATTTATCATTTTACAAAGCTAAAAAAAAAAAATTGCGAACACTTGATTTTATGCTCAAAGGGGAAATGTCACAATAAACTTAGCGCATCACAGTGGTTAAACTCTAAGAAAATTTAGACATTTTCAGCAAGAATGAAAAAGAAAAGAAAAAAGAAAATTTCCCAAATTTTAGTAATTACAATGTATTCTTTGTCCACAGTACTAATACTAGACAATGCAGGATTTGAACTGGTCACAGATCTGTGCCTGTTGACCTTCTTAATGGAGGCAGGCCTTGCCACCTCTCTCACCATCCACCCTAAGACACGTCCCTGGTTTGTGTCGGATACTCTGCGTACAGACCTTTCCTGGACCTTCGACACACTAAGGTATATCGTTGGTTACATTTAAGGGCAAAGTAAATGCTAGGAGATTAGGCAATTATATAATTTAATAGGCGTTTAGTAACCACAATTTCTGGATTAGTTGCTAAACAGACATTCTTTGAAGTAGTGATAAAATTTTATCTCAAATGCATTCATTATTTTCATGTTTTGTAATTGATAACTACAATAATCTCCATGTATAATCTTATCTGTATGATTTCAAACCCCTACACAATAATATCCTGCCACAATATATCCACAATAATATCCTGCCTGTGTTTTACATTTTAAGATAGCACAGCTTTTTCAAAATTGCACCAGCTTATTGAATTGATTAAGTTCACTTTCCTATTAGAGAAGTTAATACGCAAATTCTTTTTTAGCAGCCTAATTAAATAAAAATTATTTCATTAGATAACTCTACAGCATATTGCCATATTCAGATTTCAAGCTTTAAAACCAAAACTTTTTGTTGATCAAAGGGAAGCATTTACCACAATTACTTGCAAGAATTATACTTCTGGTAGCATTATATAGATGTGAAATATTGGCAGTAAGTACATAATATACATATATCAGCATAATTGATTGCTAACAAAAATCTTCTGTGTATAATCTAATAATTGTATTTTAAGTTGAAAACTTAAACATGTACGTACGGAAACCACGTACAAAACTCGGGCAAATCATAACATAGAACGAAAAGGCAATGTAAAGGATCTGGGTGTACTCATGTCGGAAGACCTTACCTTTAAAGAACACAATAAAGTAGCCGTCACAACTGCAAGAAAAATGACAGGTTGGATAACAAGAACTTTTCACACTAGAGATGCTATACCAATGATGATACTTTTCAAAACGCTTGTGCTCTCTAGAGTAGAGTACTGCTGCACAATGACAGCACCTTTCAAAGCTGGAGAAATTGCTGACCTGGAGAGCGTGCAGAGATCCTTTACTGCTAGAATCCACTCAGTAAAACATCTAAACTATTGGGACCGACTAAAGAGCCTAAAACTGTACTCCCTTGAGCGCAGGCGGGAGAGGTACATAATAATTTACACGTGGAAAATATTAGAGGGGCTGGTCCCAAACCTGCACACAGAAATAACATCACATGAGACCAGAAGACATGGCAGGATGTGCAGAATACCCCCGTTGAAAAACAGAGGTGCAACTGGTACTCTGAGAGAGAACTCTATCAACATCAGAGGTCCGAGACTGTTCAACACGCTTCCACTACACATAAGGGGCATAACTGGCCGACCCCTCACAGTGTTCAAGAGAGAACTGGATAAGCACCTCCAAAGGATACCTGATCAACCAGGCTGTGACTCATACGTCAGGCTGCGAGCAGCCGCGTCCAACAGCCTGGTTGATCAGTCCGGCAACCAGGAGGCCTGGTCGACGACCGGGCCGCAGGGACGCTAAGCCCTGGAAGCACCTCAAGGTAACCTCAAGGTAAGGTATGTTTTCAATACTGAACTACAGTGACACCTCGGTTCACGAATGCCCCTCTTTACGAACTTTTCGGATTACGAGCCCAATTTTTTTGGAAAATTTGAATCGGGTTACGAACTTTGCCTCGGGAAACAAGTTTGCTGATACGTGTATGGGCCGACCTAGCATGTGGTGGCATGGTGATCTCTACCTAGTGATTATCACTCCTGAATTCTTTGCAAAGATTGTTTTTTTCAGTTTTTTGGCTATTTGAAGATAAAATTTGTTATTATATAACTTGCCATGGGTCCCAAGAAGGCCAGTGGTAAGGTTCAAGCCAAGAAAACACACGTGAGAATGACCATAGAAGAAAAACAAGAGGTCATTCATAAACATGAAAATGGTACAGGGGTTGTTGAACTAGCTAGGCAGACAACAAATCTTCAGGGAAGGAGGAGGAGGCAGTAGAGGATGTCCCTTCCTTATTAAGAAAATGTGTGCAGTAAGGGAAGAACGGCAAAGTTTTGCTGAAATGAATCGCCCAGATAAAGTTTTAGTAGGCCGTTGTATTGATCTTATTAATGACAATGTGAAGTCTCACTACAGAGAGGTGTTATAAAGAAGGTAAAAACAATCTTCAATGGAACGATTTCTAGTGAAAAAATAAAGCAGTGAGCCAAAAGCAGGTCCTAGTGGTATGCAGGCAAAACGTGCCAGTGTGTGTACCCCAGAAAAGTCATCACTGCCTGATGTTATAATGGAAGGGGACTCCCCTTCCAAACAGTAACACCTCTTCTCCTTCCCCCCCCCCTCCTCACAGTCTTCCACATGCCAATACGAGTCATCAATAAAGGTAAGTAATAACTTGTACATACTTTTGTATTGAAGATTTGGGTGAATTAGGTATAAAATTGACTTTAAAGTTAATTTTTTGGGAAGTCTGAAACGGAGTAATTAATTTTCCATTATTTCTTATGAGGAAATTCGCTTCGTCTTACGAATTTTCGGGTTATGAGCTGTCTCTGAGAACGGATTAAATTCGTAAGCTGAGGTACCCCTGTACAAGGAATTTACGGCAAAATTGTATACAACTTACAATATTTCCTCCAGGCTTAAAATATACAGTACTTGCACACTTGTGTATTGATTTATTTGTTTAATGCAGAGAAGCTGGAGAATGTGCTGGAGAGATGGCTAATAAATGGACAAATTACATTTCCCTTGGACGGTGGAAAATCACAGAAAATAAATTTTGGACTTTGTCTTACGACTTTGCTGATATGAGGGAGGTTGATCCTGAACTATATTCTCAGCTGAGCAAGGCATCTTTGATTATCTTTAAGGTAAAATATTCCATGTAATTTGTTATTTTCCATTTGCAAATTGTTTATTTTCTAAGTCTTAGTATTTAGTTCCTCCTTATCCCTCAGGCTGGGAGCCAGCAATAATGCAATTTATTTGTAATAATTGAGCCCTGCAGTAATTATTGTTTTATGACATAGCGGGCAGCATATAGCAGTTCGACTAGGAAGTGTTACCACCATTTCATAAGTTGTCTTATGCCTTCTTTCACCTCTGACCTGCTAACGCTCTTCCTGAGCCTCCTTGATTTCTGGATTTTTTTTTCTTGTTTCTCTGTCCAGGAAAATAAAAAATTAGTCCAGGATCTCTGGAGGGAACCCCTTGGTAGCCTCCCTGAAGTTTATTGTTCCATATTAAAAGGTTACATCAGTTTCAAAAATTCTGATTGGCTTACCAGGGACCATAGCTAAAACCAGGCCCCCCTCATAGAGCCACAGGAAACAGCTTGTGGCAATCTGCCACCCCACTGGAAAAAAAATCCATTAGTCGGCAAAGTTTTACAGGAAGGGTCACAGAAAACACTTCCCCCCCCCCCCCCAGAAACCCAGCATTGAATGTAATGAAATGCTTCTTTCTGGAGGAGCTATGGTGTTTCCCTGATTCCCTTCCCTCTCTCCAAGTTCATCGGTTCATGCGGGTGTTCATCAGCTCCAAAACTGATCAAGAAAGCCAGCCGAGGGTTGAGGCCGGGCTTCCTGGTTGCGGTATTAGATACTAAAGAATTTTTAGCTAGTTTGAATGAATCCCTTGTTCTGTGTGAATCGTTTGCATAGTTTGTGGACTCTTTATGTAAAACTGTGCTGGTTTTCTGGACGATTTTTCCAGTGGGGTAGCAGATTGTCACCTGCTTCCTGTCTCTCTTGAGGGAGGGCTTTGGTCCAAGGAAGCCAAACTGAACTTTTGCAACTAACATTTAGTAGGGAGATGTCTCAGCAAGATTACTTCAGGGAGCCACTGGGATTCTACCAGAAAGACATTTCATTACATTCAACACTTCTTTCTGTAGAGAGCTAAGCGCGGTGTTTGTGGTGACGTCATACGTGTTTCCTTGGTTTTGATTGAGGAGTTCTATAGCTAGTTCGGCTTTCGGTTTGCAAATTATTTGATCGGCAGTAGTTTGTTTTGGAATTCTTACCTTTCTGGGTGCCTGACCTGGTAGATGGCAGACAGACTGCTTCCAATTACACGGGGGTGTCTTTAGGCCATTGCTCCTCGTGCCTCTCTTGAGGGGGCCAGGTTCTGGCTCTGGTCCCCGGTAGGCCTAGAACTCCTTCGACTGACTGTTGCCACGGTCTAATATATACACATCAGCCCGGTATAGCTTCGGGGAGCCTCCGGGTCTCACCCAGGAAATGGCGTTTCATTACATTCAACGCTGGATTTTTTTTCCTTTAATGGGGTCTGATTTGTTATCCCTCACTTTTGGTTATCAGGTTGGGAAACTTCATGCTTGCCTCCAAAGCAGAGCTTAGAGACTTGGCTTCTCCAGGGGTTCATTACATTCTTTGTCTGGTTGTGCTGTTGAGGTGGTCCACTGTTACTAGCATGCCACTTAGGATGCACTTGCATACCTTTTGTCAACCCGGTCTTTGGTTCCCTGTTCCAGGGCCAGTGGTCTGTCCACAGGCCTATGATGTCTGCAAAGTTTGTGGCTCACTGCATTCTTTGCTAATACTGTATGTCATAGGGTGGATATGGGGGCCAGTAATTTTTAGCACTAATCAGATACTAGCAACATGGTTCATGGTTAATGTTCCTTGGCAGCACCAAGTTTGCATAGCATGGTCAGGACATCCTGACTCCAATTTCCTTTAGGGTTACTCACTGCACCTACTCTTTTTTTTCCACAGAGAACCCCCCCCCCCCCCCCTCTAAAATAAAGTGTTGAATGTAATAAAATGCTTCTCTTTGGAGTCTTATTCATGATTTCCTGTTCCCACTTGTCTCCTCTTTTTATGGTTCCTCGGGTTGGCTTTTGGTGGTGCATGTCTGATGGGGGAAGCTAGCTGGAACCCTGAGTCACCAGGACTGCCATCTGATGGCAAGTGAGTGTTGCTAACATTAGTGGTTGGTTCTGGACAATGAGTGTGTACACTACACACAGAAATCATAATAGCGTGATGCATCAAATGAACAAAATCATTAGGGCCGTGATGAGGGTTCGAACCTACGTCCAAGAGGATCCCACACACGCCTTACTCGACTGTGCTACGACATGGTTAAAAGAATTGCAACCGGGAGTTCAACTGAGCTCCCGGTTCAGTTGAACCGGTTGCAATTCTTTTAACCATATCGTAGCACAGTCTATTACGGCGCGTGTGGGATCCTCTCGGACATAGGTTCGAACCCTCATCACGGCCCTTGTGGATTTGTTCAATGAGTGTGTACATCAGGGTTACCAGTGTTTTCCATGCAGTTGCTTGTTTAGGTGTGCTCTTTTTTTTTCATCTTTCAGCTTGGGTTGCTCTTGTATCCCCCAAACTTCCATTGCATCTATTGAAGCAGCCAGAATATGGTCCTTGTTTGCAGTAGGTGCTCATGACTAATTAAGGATCTGGTGGGGTACTTCTGGCTTGGAGCTATCCACCAGAACATGAGATTTAATTGCATTTAGTGCTGGATTTTTATTTACTAAACATTTGTTGGTCAATGTGGCTTTGCTATAAACAAAAAAGGTGCAGAAATGTAGGTTCTATCATTTGTAGTATTAAAAAAAAAATATTTATCAGGGATATGGTCCAAATTATTTCAGACAATTTAAGGTATACTCTCTTGTTTGCACATGTATTTGTAGCATACAGCAAGATATTGCATAACTTTTAATTTACAGTACAGTACATAAAAATATGCATGCTTATAACAGTCAAATATGAGTTGGCAATACAGTATTTATAGTGCAAGGATTCAGAATTTAAAACTTTTTGCAACTGATAATATAAGGAAGTTTAATTTCATTACATTAAATTTTTTTAGGGAGACTTGAATTACCGCAAACTCACTGGAGATCTGAACTGGCCAACAACGACTGGCTTTGAACAGGCTCTTCGCGGTTTCTTCCCAGCCCCAGTATTAGCTTTACGTACAGCTAAAGGTGGACCAGTTGTTGGACTGGCTCCTGGCATTAGTGAGAGAATTGCAGCAGTAGCACCTGACTGGAATATTAGTGGAGAGTATGGGATGATCCAGCTCTGTACTTCTTCATGATATGTTGACCTTTAATCGTTATTGTTATCAGCATGTTCTTGTCTTACAGCTTGTTTATTTAAATTTGATGCTTAAATCAAGTTTTGTGTAATTAAATGTTTGGAAACATAACAGTGGGGTAGCATATTTTGGGTCATTAGGAATAGTACTTTTATTGTTAACACTTTGCGTGGCCCGGTGGGCCCTCTGCAGTGCACCACACGGTAGGCAGCATGTTGCCCATGAGCTCATAACCACACTCAAATGTTTATACTCTTTACAATTTTCTCTCTCAATTTCCGTGCTACATTGGTCATTTCGGTATCAAATTGTTCACAATAGAATGCTCTAAAGGGATATATGCATATAAGGTCAAAAAGAACAACAACTTTACCAATATCATAAAAGTACATCGTCATGTGAAAACAAACTGCTTTTCGTTATTGTTTACAGTCGTTATTCATTCCCTACATTATTTGTTACACTATATCATTCGTTTTTGTGTTGCTTCATGTTTATAAAGGCAGTAACAAAAAATAAATAAGGTAAAACTACCGGAACAGGCACACATTTCAAACCGAGAGTATGCTGTGGCAGTCAAGAGCGTTGTCACGAAAACCATGCGCCTCTTGTGTGGGTGTCCACCCACTCAGAGGTGTCATGATGCCACGTGGGGTATACAGAGAATGGGAAGACGTTGGCGCTCATTTTAAAGTCCCATAATAATCGGACAATAAATGGAATTTTTACAAATATTTTAATTGTTGACGGCATTAACGTCATTTCGCACAATACAGTACGTGTATTGTATTAATGATTGAGAACGTCATCACAAAGCAAAAGTGTTAAGAAATGAAGTTTCAGTATTTCCGTTGTCAAAATATTTGCTACGTTTCTTGCTGTATTCTTGCATTTGATACTTTGTTAAAATTGTATTGTCAATGGTGGTTGTTATTGTGGTCTTGTCCCATATTATTGTAATTCATGAAGTTTCTGGCAAGTATAAACTTAATACTAACCAAAGGTTTGGTTAAAATATACCATAGCATAGAATTCACTTTTATATTTTATTATTGAAATGATGAATTTCCAGTTATGATAGTGTAACTTTAAAGTTGAATGTGGCCAAATAAAAAAATAATTTTTAAATGGATGTCTGAAATGTGATATTTATATTAAGAACCATTGTCTTAATTCAAAGTTTTATGTGTTATTTGAAATTTAGCCCAGGTTATGGAACTGGTTAGGTTATTCAGAACTGTATTATCCATCAGAAGATGTTCTGTCAATCTTTTTACATGCAAGTATGACTGTGTACAGGGGTGTGTTAGAAGCAACTCCTGGTACCTTGCCCTAGATGTGAACCCAGGTCCTCTTTCCTGCAAGACTAGTGTGCTAGGGTAATGTTGAGAAAATGCTTGGTTTTAATGAGGGGGAAAACACCATTATGGGTGTGAGATGAGAGCTTCTGCAAGGAATAATTTAATGTATTATGCAATTAGTAAAAACCCAGCAAGATGTAATGAAGTGCTAATTTCTGGAGGAGCCCTTGTGGCTCCCTGAAGCCATCTTCCCAAGAATGCTTCTGGCCTGCCAGGGACCAGTCAGAACATGGCCTTCCTCACAGATGTGTAGAGAGCTGGTGACAATCTGCCACCTCACCAGTCACGAAGCCCCAACCCAGAGATACGGCATCAATAAGCACGATAAGCGAACGGGGAGGATGGTGCCATAGAACAGAACCTTGATAGGCCCAAACCCACTGATCCTAGAAATGGCAGAACCAGAGAAACCTGAACAATGCCCAGATTGAAACTCTGCCTAAAGAAAGACCCTGCAGGCAAAGTCCAGGCTCCAGCATAACCAACCAGCCACTAGGGGCCAATCCAACCCACAGACAGCAACAAAGTGGCAGGCAGAGCAAAGCCACTGTAGGGAAGACAGAGACTGACAACCACAAACAAGGCCCAGCCTAGTTCAAACCAGGGATGGAACCAGCTGGAAAGGTCACCAGCTTGCCAGGAACAATAGGATACACACCCACTGTGTGTGTGTGTGTGTGCTGGCACTCTTTGCACTCTGTTGCAAACAGAGGGATAGACAGTTGGAACAAGTTAAGTAAGAAGGTGGTAGAGGCCAAAACAGTCAATAGTTTCAAAGCATTATATGACAGAGTACTGGGAAGACGATATACCACAAGTGTAGCTCTCGTTCTGTAATTACACACACACGACGCTTAGCGTAGCTGGGCCGGAAGGACCTGTACCACCAAAGAAAAGACAAGAAGCAAGACATGAGCCACAATGTTCTCCATAAGTGGCAAAACTGGTGCTTATATGTTCTAGGACAACAGCTGCTGAGAAGCCTCAAGAGAAGAGGGAGGCTGAGCGCATAGAGACCAAATGAACATAAAATGCAAGTAGGGACTGTGCTGTAGGAGTCAGACCCTACAAGCAGCTATGCCCCACAGTTGGCAGTAGGACCGACAAGCACCCTATAAACTAGCACCAAGTGAGGGAAGAGTTTGGCATAGCAATCCAATAAGACCAAACCAAAATATAGCAGGGTAATTACCATAGCCTGAAGGACGTGAACGATACCCCCAGGCACCAGGGCTGCTTGCCAGAAGAACAGACACCATCTGCCACCAAAACCATCAAGCTGTGTGTGGTGACTGTGACATCCCATGTAAACAGGTGTACAAACCACCCCCCACCCCCCCCCCAGTGCACCCAACACAACCAAAGTATATCCTTAACTATGGGCCTAAGGCAAGGATCCCCACCCCCCCCAGTGGTCAGGGAATTTCTAGAACAAACACCTAAACACTCCAGAGAAGGGAAACTCTGGCTGTGCAAAGGAAACATTAGCGGGTACATAGGGGAAAAGAACCCCAAGCACATGCAGCTTGAAACACCAAATGAGCCAAGCCCATTCAACAAGCCAGGATAAAAACATGTGAATGAAACCTACACTAAAATGGAAAACAATACACAAAGCAAATGGCCCACACAGGACAACCAAATCCAAAGATGGCAAGCACTTAGCTTGAAGCTTCAGGGCTTGCCCACAAGCTGGTATGACCAAAAACACTACAGGCTGGTTGCAAAGACACCAACATCAGGAACAGGACTGACTTTGGAAGCTGGTGTCTGGGCTGGTTGGTGGTGCTAATCAGTACTGTACTAGAGTTTCGAGCTCACTTCAGTGGATCCCTTATTTTATTGTAACTCATTTGCAGTTGTTTGGAAGTTTGAGACTTAATTTTCTGTAAACCTTCCAGTTGCATGTAAAACTGCAGTAACTTTCTGGAGGCTTCTTTTTTACTGGTGAGGTGGCAAATTGTTATTGCTCATTGCACCTATGTGAAGGGGGGTTGGGGGGGGGCAGATTCTGGCTCTGGTCTCCAAAAGACCAAATGGAACTACAGTATCCACAACTGATGGGACTTCTTAGTATGAAGCATTCTCAGAAACATAGCTTCTGGGAGCCACAAGGGACTCCCTCCAAACATTACAATAGTTGATATGCTAATGCATTGACACCTTGTCTAGAGGGAATATTAAGTATGAAATGGGTGGACATATTGAATAAGAATGAAGTGCTTGACCTAGGAGTATGTAAAGGTGAATAAATATGTAATTTGTTTTGTAAATTGATGCTACAAATATTTAAGTGAAGAGGGCAGGCACATTTGCACACATAAGATGCTGGAACCTATAAGCAACTGGTTGCAGGCCATTGTTTATTAGAAATGACAGAGGAAGCAGCAGCTTTTATTATTGAGAAAGCAAATTATGACTGGTTTCTCACATAACATTAGAAGCCATTTCTGAATGTATTACTGTGATTTAAATAGTTACTTGCATGTAATTAAGGTACCTTTATATTGAGTAACCTTTAAAGACTGTCACAGTAATGTGGCTGAAAATTACTTGATCCCCGAGATCTGAAAATAAAAGGTGATAACGTTTCAAACTGTCCTGGGCCATTATCTAGTCAGACTGAAGCGTCACTTCCTTTATTTTCAAATGTGTCTGTAGGGCATCTCATTAAAGAAGTTTATAATATTTTTTTCTTTATATCTTTGATCCCTGTGGGAACTTGCCTAGAGTGATGTCATTTTATTTAGAATCTGAGATATTTCAAGCATTTGCAAGTATCAGATTAAGAGCTTGAAATGCTGAAAAATTTAAAAGAATAAATGGAGTGTTAACTTCTGATATTGTTCATTTTCATTACAATTTTCATTTGTAAAACTTTGTACTGCAAATGTATATAAATTTTTACTCACTAGTTTATTTTAACTCCTTTAAAGGATATTCCAGAACAAAGTGCAGTGTTAAATTGTGTCTACAATTTAGGCTGCAATGCACTGGTGTTTTTTTCCACCAGTGAACATTAATGACATACAATAATACCTGGGTTCAATCCATCACATGTAGCTTGTTTCTTTTTCTTGTTTTTTTTTTTTTTTGTACACTATTTGTATTCACAATAATCAACAGCAGAAGACCTTCATAAACCAGTCCATTTTAATTGGTTAAACATACCCAGCAGCCAAAATTGAGCTTTCACATACCGCTTGCAGTTGTGAGTTTTGCATTCTCTCGTGCTCACTCATTCATTCCACCCTCAGAGTGGTCTCCCAACACTCAAAAATACAAAAGAGTGCATACACAAATAACAAAATACTGTAGATCTTTATTGTTATGGGTCACTTTAATACATCAGTCACCGGTCAGACTGGCCCCCCCCCCTTCCCCCCCAAAAAAACTTCACCCCTGACTTGTAAATAGACAAGTAACAATTAATACTACTGCATTGAAAATGCTTCCTTTAGTAGTCTGATTGTAGGATCTACCGGGTATGCCCCCTAGTACATTATTCCTAGTTCCCAAACACATTGATTTTTACACACAGAGATCACACTAATGTGAACACTGTAAATGATTAGATGCCAAAACATCCAAACACCTACCACCATCTGTGAAGTAAAAAAGTTTTAAATATCAATAATAATAGAGGAGCAGTGTAATTGATTAGAATATTAAAGCTTTGACTCTTGAATTATGAACAATTTTTTTGTGTGTACAAAAACCATGATACTTTCATTACTTATATTTAGATATACCTGTACTATACAATGTATATATACTGTATCATGTGGTAGACTTTGGTATTTCTATTGTACCAGAAAGTTGGCAAATTCTTGGCACCTCTTTCCTATGGCTGACAAGATGTTTCCGTATCTTCTTTGCTGAAGTAAACACAACACCACACTTTGGACAGGTATATTCCTTATGCTCTTGGTGTACAAGAGAATGAGAAACCAAACGATAGGCGTGAGAGAAACTTCGGCCACACACTTCACACCGATGAGGTTGTGGATTACTGTGGCGACGATAATGAGTGCTCAATCTTTTCTCCGAGGCAAAGTGCATCCCACATATGTCACACTTTGGACGGGAAGTAGAGTGGATTTTCAAATGAGCAGCTAAACCACTACGCCAAACAAAAGACTCATTACAAACTGAACAGACATGTTTTCGGATATTAGAGTGAACCTGCATGTGAATGTTTAGAAGACTGCGGAACTGGTATGCTTTATGGCAATGTGGGCAGGGAAACCTTTGAGACTTATGGTTATGAGATGCTTTGTGTACTGCTAATGATTTATGTCTTTCAAAGGTCTTACCACATTCAGAGCAGGTGAATAAACCTGTTAAATGAAGTTTTAAGTGCTGCTGTAAGACCAGCTTTGTTTTAAATGCCTTAGAACACATGGAACACTCGTAAGGCCTCGCATTAGTATGTAAACTTTTATGACGCGTAAGGCCTGATTGTGTCCGAAAAGATGTATCGCAAATGCGACACACATATGGCATCTCACCAGTGTGAATACGAAGATGTGCTACAAGAACACCGCGGTTTGTAAAACTTTTGTGGCAGAAAGGGCAAGCGTGGGGCTTAATTCTGTGGTGGCTGTTCAAATGAGATTTGAGACTGCTGCGGCCTTTAAGCATCTTCCCACACACCTGTTAAGAAAAAAATAAAATTTATCTTAAAATATTAGCTTCATTAAACAATTTTAACTGTAGAATGATCTCTGATTTGCAAGTATGACACCCAATGTGTTTTTCAAGAGTTTTCTGTGTTATTGCTGTGATAAATAAAAAACTAGCATTGAATATAATGAAATGCCAATTTCTGGGCAAGCTCAGTGGTTCCCTAAAGCTAGGCACCAAGATGGTTCCCATCTACCAGATTGCATCATCCATGGAGTTCTTTAGGCCTGCCAGAGACTAGAGCCTAAACCTGGCTTCCCCCTCATAAAGGTGCAGAGAGGGATGACATTTTGCCACCTCACTAAGGCAGGCATCCAGAAAGTCAGCGAGTCAAACAACAACCCATCCTCAGTCTTTGTTCACTCCATCCAGTGGTTGACCCCAAAGATGCATTTATAAATTTTAACAAGTTGTTCATTCAAAATAGGAATTGTCTCAAATATAAATTACTATCATTATATATTAGCATATTGTGCATTTGGTTAGGTGTTTAGGTTCTGTTGGCGATTATTTGTAGTATGTGGATGAAGCATTTACAGCATTGTGGTTCGAACAAAAAATTGTCAGCGAAGCATTGTTCGAGAAGTATTTAAATGTCATCAGTCGAGTCACGCATCAGCCCGTCCTCTAAACAAAGACCCAATGTCCATTCCATGCACCCGGCAAACCCCCTGCTTATCAATGAAAAAACGGTTTACACACAACTCACAACTAATGACATTCGAACACTTCCAGAACAACTTTTGTTCAAACTGCTGACGACTTTTGTTCGAACTACAATGCTGTAAATGCTTCACCCACATACAGTACTTCAAATAATCGCCAACAGAACCTAAACACCTAACCTAACCAGTGCCTAAATATGCACAATATGCTAATATATAATAATAATTTATATTTGAGAAAAGTTGTTTTGAATGAACAGCATGTTAAAATTGATGAATGCATCTTTGGGGTCAACTGCTGGATAGAGTGGACTTGATCTGAGGATGGGTTGCATGTGTAAACCGTTTTTCATTCATAAACAGATGGTTTGGCGGCTGTATGGAATGGACTTTGGCCTTTGTTTATGAGGATGGGCTGCAAGCAAACCACTGCTGGGTTCAAATAGAGACAGAAGCCTCGAAACCCACCTAATGAACTCCCCCTTATGTAAACAAACTATCTAATCTCTCAAAACTAGTATGAGCTCGTTCGTTCCACCTCCTTCACTCGTTTGAGGGTAGGACGGAAAGCATTCACCACCTCCTGGAATCTGAGCTGTAAGTTCAATTCTGGAGCAGACGGTCAAAGAACACCTACCTGATAACCTGGAGGAAAAGAGGGGTATCAGGGAGCAACCAAGGCTTACCCAGAAAATCTCATTTTATTATATTCAATGCTGGTTTTCTAGGGGGAGGGGGTTCCTTGTGGCTCCCTGAACTTACCTACCAATGGAGAAGGAAGAACACAAAGGAATTTGCCAGGGAGAAGGGGGGAAAGAACCACAAGAATCAGAACAAAGAAGAGACCCCTGGACAAGAGACATAACCCATGGCCACACAAGGATACAGAGGTATGGGAATATTCACCATATACCAGGCTGTTAGAACCCTGTTAGATCTCCAAAACCCTGGTGGCTGAATACTGGCATAGGACACATTAGTAAACACAGCCAGGAGAGCAGTATACTTCTGAACCTCACAAGGAAAGACTGCAGACTGGCCAGATCTGATGACATTGCAATGACCTGAAAAACATGAGCCTTGGAACAGGGAACCAAGGAAACAGGGTCAACCCATAAAGCATTCACCGAAGCAGAATCGGTGCACAAAGGTCGTGGCGAAGAGCCGCCACCGGACACAGAACATGATGCACCCCCAACTAAAACAACCAAGTGTCAATAACCAAAGGACACCTCCAGAAGCCAACCAACTCATTCTTCGCCAGAAAAAAAGGCGGCTGCAAACAAAATGGCAACTGGGCCAAAAGTACAGAAATTGCACCTTCTGAGAAGAGCATGAAGTACCCCAACCCAACAACTGGAGGCAAGAGATACAAAACCCAAAACCTTGGAGAAACATTCATGGACCAACGGGAACACCATAAAACGAAGAGAGAAAAGAAGGGCAAGAACACTGTCCAATGACCACATAGGCTCAGGCAGCAGATGATCAGGCCTGAGGTGAAGCAAAGTGCCAGACAGTATGCGAAATGGAGCCGAGGCAGTATTAATACCTAATGTAAGCTGCAGTGGCTCTGTCACGATACGAGACGAGATTATTCAATTCTCAATCTCCTCAAATCTCCTCCTCAAAAGAGAGCAAATTTTTAACCAAATATCCTCAGTTAGCTAACTGTAGGTAGTAAATGTGGGCGATTATAAACTTTCCACCACTATGCACTGGATGGAGGATGGTATGTAGTACAGTATAAACATAATTATGAAACTAGCACATCACATAATGTAAGTTGCTAAGTATGGAAACTACTTGTGATCAGTCTAACCCAGTAATTGTTGATAGAACATTATAAAAAAAAATTTGTAACTAGATTATGAAGACTAATTTGCTTAGCAAAATAAATTTTGGGGCTCATTCATGAAGACATCAAGCAAGGGCGGAGGAAGTTGCAAGGGAACTAAACCCCAAAAACCCAAAACAGGAAGCTGGCGACACAGCAGCCAGCGAAAGGCGAATGAGCTCTGCATCACAGTAGATCACAGTAGCAGCAATGAAAGGGACTGAACCAGATACCAAAACAGTCGCTGAAGCAACACTTTGCCCAGAGGAGAATCTGTGCAAGCAAAATTCAGGCTCCTGTACAATCAATTTAGCAACCATTGAGTCACCGGGTCAACTTGACACCAATAGATGGTGGCACTACAGCCGGGTCAAGGGTGCTGAAGAAAAGGTAAGTGAAGCTGACCACGAGTCCCACACAACATCCAGCCAAGTCTGAATCTGGGATGGAACCACCTGGAACTTCTTCAGTTCACTAGGAACTCCAACCTGGCGAGCTGGAAAAGAACCAGATTCCTGGCTAGCAGACACATGAACTGACTGGGAACCCAATCATTGAAGTCAATCCAGCCAATCATACAGTAAATGGTAAAACAATGTTGAAATTTTCTTCATTTGGTTTAATCATTAGCTCAAAAAATAATAGTTGCATTGGCATTAAACTAATTTATTTCAATACCAGCCACACTTTTTTCCTCAAATAAAACTGTTTCAAGTTAATATGACAAGGTATTTCAAGACATAGGACAGTGGACACAAGAAAGGACAAAATACAAAATTACAAAACTATATGGCAAGGTTTTTACCTGACATAGCATTTCCCTGGTGTGCTTTTTCTTTGAACTGAGTCTATCACTTGCAGCTTCATAGTCTGGTCCAACATCAACAACAGCAGCAGAAGTAGAATATTCACTTACAGTTACTTCCTCCTTTGGCTGCTCCTGCTGCTGCTCCTGCTCATTTTCAGTGTTGCTTGTCAAAAGGATTTCTTCAGCAATTGGCTCATCTTCCTCAATCCAAAACTTTTCTTTTAACATCATATCTCTGCTCAAGTGTAAATCTGCAAAAGGTAAGTAAATTTTTTTTAATATCATACTTCAATAAGCAACAAATATGATGCATTTCTCAAATAAATATGATTTTGCTTAAATTTTAAACATTACATTTCAGCATTAATTTAATATCACCCTGTTGGAATGTCACCACCTTCCACATCATGAGTTTAATACATTAAAATACTAACCAGGATGATTGAGGAAGTCTCTTGCCATCTCTTTTCTCTTCATATACACTCTATTTTGTTCTTGTTGAGGAATAAACCATAGTCTCTCTGCTCGCTCTATTAGACTATGTACTTTAAAGTTTTCATTGTTATGAATCCCAGCTCCTCTTTTGGAATTCCTCCATTCGGCCAAAGACACGTCCATTTCCTGGTTATAATGCTTAAATAGTGTTTGTTGATCAGTTGACTTATTGGTTCTATTGTGTACCCCTTGGAATTCCACTTCATTATCAGAGCTGTGCTGGACATCATGAAGAGAGTGGTAAATTTTATTTGGGAATGCTGCATTAGAGGCAGAACTAGGGCACTGGCTTGTGCTGTAATCTTGACAGTTAGGAAGAAGTACACCTCGTCGAGCATCAGTATGTGGAGATGTGACAGGTGGTTGTGGCATTGATGGATTGTTTTGAAAAAAGGCATGTGGCAATTCTTTTGAACTATACCCATATGATCCTTTGCTCTTATCCGATACAATTGCATGGTCTGAAAGATGGGTGACAGGAGTTGCTTCTGAGTAGGGTGTGTACCTTGGAGGTGGAAGCAAAGCTGGAGAGGAAGGATATGCAGGTGGGGATCTAACACTTTTCCTGTTGTCCGAGTGTATGGATGAATCCTCCTCTTCAAGGCTTGTGGTATGGTTTGATAATGAATAATTGGTTGGTGTTATTTGTTGATGTGTAATTGACATGTGATGAGAGGCTGAAGTTTGAGGGCTAGAAGATGGGTACGATGCAGTGTTTTGTAAATGAGCTTCATATGATGGCGGACTTAATGACTTTTCGATCGATACAAATGATGAATTTATTTCATCTGTAGGATATGAAGATGATAAAGGCAATCCTTTATTAGAACCATAATATTGTGAATAATTAGTATCACTAAGCTGGTGCGAATCATAAACATTATCGTGAGAGATACTTGCAGGGTTAGTATGGTGAAATGCTGATGAAATTTGGGGAATTGAAAATGGTGGGAGGTGGGACAATCGAGAGTCATCAGTGTTGGTGGACGATGCTTTAATTGGTGTTGGTGTGGCATGAGGGGACTGGCTGTAAGTTTCTTGTTGTGGGGATTGACAATATGATGGAATATGTTCATTAACAAATGAGAGAGCCTGAGGAGAAGGAGGATCAGCATCATTAATATGCTGTGTATGCAAAAAATATCCCTCAGGTTGTGGTGATTGACTGCACGTTGTAGGATGCTCAGGTGTGGCGAAGGAATTTGGATGCCGAGACTGGACAAAAGAACCCGACTGTGGCGAGTAAGTATATAGGGAGGGCCGAGAAGACTGAGCATATGAAGCCGAGTGATGAGTAGGTATGTACGTAGCTGGATGTGGCGAATCTATGTTTGAAGCAGATTCACAGGGCTGTCTGTCAGAGTTTGACTGAGATGATTGTGTATAACAGGTTTGCTGGGCAGACTGTGTGTATACAACTGACTGAGTGGACTGTGTGTGCAAGGTAGACTGAAGGACGTGTGTATGCGAATGCCGCAGAGGTGACTGAGTAAATGACACTGGTTGTGAGGACTGGGTGTATAGAGGTGATTGGGGGGATTTTGAATAGGTTGGCTGAGAGGATTGTATATAAGGTAGCCGTGATGACTGTGTACAGGAGGTTGGCTGAGAGGACTGTGTATAGGAGGTTGGCTGAGAGGACTGTGTATAGGAGGTTGGCTGAGGGGATTGTGTGTACGAGGTTGGCTGAGGGGACTGTGTGTACGAGGTTGGCTGAGGGGACTGTGTGTACGAGGTTGGCTGAGGGGACTGTGTGTACGAGGTTGGCTGAGGGGACTGTGTGTACGAGGTTGGCTGAGGGGACTGTGTGTACGAGGTTGGCTGAGGAGACTGTGTACCTGAAATGAGATGAAGAGTCTGAGTATGTGATGCATGTTGAGGAGACTGCATATGAGAGGTTGATTTAGGAGACAGTGTGTGTGGAATTAACTGAGAAGGTGAATATGAAGTTGGTCGAGGAGACTGCACACACAAAGTTGGCCGAGTAGAATGCATGTATGATGGTGACTGAGAAGACTGTATATGTGAGGCTTGTTGAAATGACTGATGGGAACGAGTGTAGGACACTGGGTGTGAGGAAAGTATTTGAGAGGCTGAGCATAAGGGATAAGTATGCAGTGACTTTTGTGGTACTTTATTAGACTGATTTGGCTGTGAAGATTGGTTATAAAATGCTGTATAGGAATGAGAACTGCATGTAGAAAGTTTTGAAGGATGGGAAGTGGATGATAATTCTGAGCTCTGGGTTAAGTGAGGTGTTTCAGAAGATAAGGCATGATGTATTGACTTTGGATGGTGGGAGTAAGACACTTGATGGCACAACTGGCTACCAGGAGTAGCAACACATGTACCTATATCTGATACTGCTGAAGAGAGAACAGGGGATGCTGCAGATACATCACCTGAATTCTGTGACTGGCAGGTAGATGGAGAAGAATGCAGAAAGCCACTGGAAGCAGAACAACAACTTGGAAGAGGGCTGCATGAAGAACCAGCTGAAGAATGAGTACATGGTAGAGAAGAATATATGGAGGAATAACTGTGATTCTTCACACATGAGAAGGGCGAATCCAAAGCCCCTTCTATGGTAGGATTTGTTGCATGAAATGATGAAGGTATAATGTATGTAGAAGGATCTTTTGAATGTAACTTTAAGAGTGATGAGGATGGGGAATATATAGGTGAAACTATGGAGAAACAGGAAGAAGTTCCAGTTATTGTATTAGAATGAACATTTTTCTGTGATAATTCTAATTTTGATACTGTAGATGAAGTATAAGGAGGATGTAAGGCACTTGAAGAGATACTCCGAGATGATTGGGATGATAAACAAGGCAAAGTTGCCTGCAATCCATCTACTTTATTCCTGGCACACACTGCATTTGTTAAGAATTTTTCAGGTGAAGCTGTTTGATCAGGTATTGAGGCTGGGCATTCAGAAATACCTTGCCCCTTTTTGCATTTACAATCACTAAGCTTTTTAGTAATTTCAGATAATTTCTGGTTTGATGTCTTAGAGAACTGAATTTCTTTCTCTGTTTTACCAGTCTCACACCCATGCAGCAACTCGGTATGATGCAAGTTCAAGTCAGATTCTTGTATATTTGAATATTGTGGATAAGGTGGAGGAAGGTCGTGAGGAGCACCATGTTGAGGAGAAAGCCGGTCAGCTAAATGTAGAGATGCATTTCTTGAAGGCACTGATAACTGAGAGTGAGAAGACACTGTTGGCATATTTTCATGGGGTACTACAGGAGATTTGTCACTTTGCTTACACTGCACATCTTGATCTGTTTCACTTAATTTTGCATGGTCATTTTTAGATACAGTTACAGGGATCAGCTTAGATTTATTTTTTGTTTGTCGTGCAAATTTATTTTTGACTACATCTTCAGGATCAGATTTAACTCTATTTGTTAGCTTTGTGTTATGCGCTACCTTAATTTCATGTTTCACCTTAAGTGGCAAACTTTTCTTGTTTTCTTTGGCAATGGAATTTTCAATTTTTTTCTTTTTTGTAACTTTTCTAGGATGATCCAAATGAGTTCTGACATCAACCACAGAACTATTTGGAGCAAATAAAAGTGAAGAGACCACTGATGACTTTTGTGTTGGTGCTGGAACAGGTACAATAATTAGTGTTTGTGCATCCCTTTGAGGTGCTTTAGGCAAAATTGATTTCACAAAAAGTTCCTGATCAACAGATTTTTTTGCATCTCTGTTAAGGCTTGCTTTTAGCTGCACATTCTGCATTATCTTTATTCCTTTAACATTACTGGCATGTTTTTTGGAACTGGAGTTTGTCCCTTTAACAGACTTTATTGACCTCTGTTGGTTTACAAGTTCCTGCAATGAGAAGTAATAAAAGTTGTGTAGCTCATACAAGATACTTTTTAAATAGTAACTTTACACAAATTTTTGGGAGTTATATCTTTTTAAAAAAGACCTAATCTACTTCAGTAAAAAATCTATTTGCTTAATTTAATTAAAGTGGTGAAATGGTGACATGATATAGTCAATGAAGCATTTTCAAAGAATGTGAAGAAATTTTGTTCCAATACTGTCTTTCTGGAAATTAAAACTGGAAATTAGTCATTAGTTGTGGATATTCAATAAAATATTAATCAGTGTGACAACCTTTGGGCTGCATCAAGCATCAATTCATGTCGAGCATACCTTAATGCTTGAGTAAATAGCATTAAATGGAATACCATTCCGCAAATGATACCAAAGTAAATCCTGCCGAGTCAAAGTAAGACAAACTTTGAAACCTTAGCAAGGAAAACCATATCTTGACTTAAGGAAGGGTAAACTGAAGTGCAACCACAGGAAAGGAGGAATCAATCTCATATAGGGATGGGAAATAAGACATGTCCATGCAGGCCCTCTGGCCCAGGAAGGTAATGCCACCAAAAGTCAAAGAGTGCTCATGGATTGCAAACCCGTGTCAAGCACTGGTATATAATTGGACATGAAAGGGGTAGGAGAGCCGAATGAAAGGGAAGCATCTTTGAAAGGCAGATTCTAAACCCAACTGAAAATCCTAGTAAGGAAGGTCGAAGGTCACCATGTTTGCAGTCAGTATGTACATGACCCCAAGAGTGCCCATAGCTGAAGGGCAAGGTCTCAACACTCCAGGAGCTGGGCCAAAAATAATAGACTGGTTGTTTAACATGTTTTGGTATACAATCTATAAACTGCAATGTCAAGTGCAAAATAAAGAGACAAGAAAAATATAGTATAGTATATCAAAACAAAGTGACTGCCTTCTCCATCAACATGCCCTGTAGGGAAAAATAAATCTGCACTGCCCAAGAGCAAAGTGACTGAAGAAGAGTTAAACTCAGGAGGAAGCCCTCAACCCATCAGTGCAGACAGACCTTTATGGTGAGGTAGAGGAAAATGCAAAGCTGAACCAGGGAAGAGGACCCTAGAAAAAGGTTGGAGTGAAATAGAGACTATGGACACTCGAAATGTGGGTAGCATAAACACAACCTCACTTAAGTGAAAAACTATATAGAACCTAGCAGAAACCAAGTGATGGGGATCCCTTCACATCAGAACCAGTGAAGGGATAGTGAGGGGGAAGGGGGGAGGCTGGGACAGTGGGTGATCAGAGCTGCTGCCTGGTGGCAGGCTCATTACAGTTAGGACAATTTCCACACTGCAAGGATCATTTGCCTTGTTTACTGGGGAATTAATTTTTGGATCAAGACCTTTTTTTTTGGGGGGGGGGCACTTATGCTTTCTGCTGGTTTTACCCTGGACTTGGTTTGCTCAGCAGTACAATTAGGTTCATTACTGACTCGCAATCAGGAATCCTTGGTTCTAATTCTGGGTGGGAAAGAAATGGTTGAGCAAGTTTCCTATCCTATGCTTCCTAAAGTATCTGTTCAACTAGCAGTAAACAGGTACCCAAAAGCTAGTCAACTGTTGCAGGGTTGCATCCTGCGTATGGTCAGCAGCTCAATCTTGGGGCACTTTGATATAAGCTACACACACACACATTTAGACAGGCTGCTTGTCCCCAACAAAATGAATTACAGTACTATACTGTATATTAGAGTCTAGTTTTGAGTTCCAATAAATAAAAGATGCATTTCAAGAAGCCTGATGTAGATAGAGTTTAAAGCTTGGTTATACAGCATATAAGCTATAGCAATACTAGAGGCTCACCAAGAAATCTTGTTCTGCATTTAATGTAAGGTGTTAGACAGGACTATGGCTATAACTTAGGCAATAAGTTCTCTATTCTCATTACACTGTCAGCCATAGCTGCAGTAGATTTTCCAAACACCTTCCTAAAGATTTAATCAAACATTTGGTTGCAAATTATAATATAATATATTATACTGTGTGTATATATGTATGCATATACAGTATGTACAGAACAGGAATATGAGTATATAAAATTTATTTATTTACTGTATTTATTTATATAATGTGCTCCATTTGATCAGAACCTAAACACATATCTTGTCAAATATTCCCATATTCATTTTATATAGCAAAAGCCTCATACACTATATAAAACTTGTTTGAATTGGCAATAATCTATCATACTTGCAAACCAATAACACCAAGGTTCAGCTTTCAGAAACTTACTGATCTTGGCAAGATACTCTTGGGTGCCAGCAAAGGTGGACATCGTGATTGAAGGTTTCTGGATGTTCCTTGCTTCGTATTTGTCAATGGTAGTATGACAGGAGTAGGCTGTGGCACACTGTGGGTGGACAGTGTGATGGTAGGAGTGGATGGAGAGGGCAGAATAATGGGAGTGGGCTGAGCAGCTCCCTGGGTTCCAATAGCAAAGTTAGCAAAGTTGGTTGGGGCCATAGTTGTTGCCAAGATTATTGTAGTGCCAGGTGATGCTACAATACTGTGAATTTGTGGGTAACCTACACCAGTCACCGAGCTTTTAGGAAGAATCTGAAATTATTTATTTATTTTAGTAGAATTTACTGGTAAATATGATTACAGTACTGTATACTTTAACCATACAGAATTAAAATAGTTACCGGTACTTTTAAAAAAAATGATTTAAGTCTAACAATAAAAAATACAAGCATAATTCATGAATGGATGTGTACATGCCCATATAAATGCAGACAAAAGAACAATGCAGTTATGGGAGAGACTGACACTGACATGGACACAATCTCAAGTGGAGATATTATGGGGGGGGACTACTCTGAAGAGTTCAACCAGGAAAAAAATATATACAGTACATTAGTCCCCAAAAACATCATTAGGTGTTTTCACTTTTCACAACATGCCATAATCCAATCTTATCAACTAAAACCAATAAAAGGCGACATTCACTGAATAAAACCAGCGTTGATTGTAATATAATGCCATTTTTTGGGCGAGCTGCGCAGACTCCCTTGAGCTATCAGGCTGATATATGTTATATTAGTCTGGGGCAACAATCAATTGAAGTTCAGCCTACTAGGGACAATGAGCCAGAACCTGGTCCCCTCAGAGAGGCAAAGGGAGCAATGGCCTATAGACACCCCATGTGGTTGGGGGCATTCCATATCTGCCATTGACCGGGGTTGGCACCCAGAAAGGTAGGCATAACAAAACAAACCCCATTTATAATTATAAGTGGGGTTATATTATAAAACAATTATACAAATTTTATATTTTATGTAGGGTTGTATTAAGAAAATAAATCCCAATTATAAAGACACATTAAATTTTGTATAAATAAGGTGTAGGAAAGTTGGACAAGTCATCTAAACAAAATCTGATAAAAAAAAATCTTACCGGTTTCATTTTCTACAACTCTGTTGTGGGCTACAAAGGCATGTACGGTGGGGTTCACTGGAAATGGAAAGAAATTATATTATTTGTCATGTTCGAGATAGAATAATGATTACAATATTTTGAACATTTAAACTGCTGCAACTCTGTTCCACAACTCTAATGTAGGTTACAAAGTAATTGTATGGTGGGATTCCACAAGTAGGATCATTTAAACTAGCTCTACTAATGGAATTCTATTCCTTTCAGGTTACGTATTTTTTTTTTTTAGTTTTCAGGAAATGTTGCTACATACATGAAAAAGTATTTGATAAATCATTTTATATACATGTGCCTTGCACTTATATTAATCTAATGTGATTACAGTAATCACAAACTAAAAATTTCAAACCTTATTCTATACTAGTAATAACACTATACTTTTACTGAAGTCTTTAATATTACCAACACCCAAGTGTGGGCAGGTATCTTTTAAAATGTGAATTGTGATAACATATGGCAACTCAAATACTGTACATAACATTCTTGTGATTTCATTTTTGATTATTAGTATCAGTAACAAGTTTCATTTGGGCTTTATTTGCATAATTTTAATTGCAATGGGCAACTGGAAAGACTTTGTCCAATCGCATCTTTTCCTTGACCTAAAATAACCCATACCAACCTAACCTAACCTAACTGTCACATAACAAAAAGTAACTAACTTAATACATACAAAAACCCTAGGATATAACTGTTGATTAAAAGGGGAAGTTGTAAAAGAAGGAACATCTGATACTGGAATGAACCGGGTATTTTCCAAATCCTTAAAAGCCAAAAAACCTTGAACTACCTAGCCTCTTCCAGTAAAACCCACATGAAAAGGCATCAAATATTCTAACCCTTAGCTAGTCCAATAAAATCATACCTTTACAGAGAATATTTAACTTGCCAGCGATAATCAACACGTTAACTTAAAGCAGCAATGATCACCAGGGTCATATATATAGGACTCACAGCAACATGATTCTCAGCCTCACGTCATCTCACAGTAAGAGATACAGTCCAATGAGACAAGCATTTCAACAAGCCTCAATTTTAACCTGTTCTAACCATACACAGTATACATATATAGGTTATGCTGGGATGGATTAGGGAAGGCAACTTTTACATTCCGAATGTGAATCATATGTTATGTAGTGACCTGTCTTTTACAGCAACATAACTGCCAGGGTCGGGTCATTATGTAGTACACAACAGGTGATGCTGTTTCATCCATAGGGTAATGAACCTATTGTGTAGTCTATTCGCTGAAGCTGTATATGCCAAGACACTATTCCAGTTTTAGTTCATGTAAAAATATTCCTAAGGAATAATTAGAACACCCTTGGTAAGCCACTGGCTTCCTGTCCCTGTCAAGTCCACTAAAAATGGTAGCCCTCAAGTACAGGGCTACAGGTTAACTTACAGGTTAGCTTACAGGTTAACTTACAGCAACATGGTCGGCAGGGTCAGGTCAGGATACAGGTCAACTCACATCAACATGGTTGCCAGGGTCAAATAAATTCTACAATATCAGCAGTTTTCATAAATGTTTTCCTTATTAGATGAGTGCTCACGCCACACCACTAGGCCTCACCACCGACTCATTGACCACCAACCCGACCTTAGGTAAACACACGGCGTTTGATGCTGACAGAATTGTTAAAATTAAACTGGTATCTCTTTGTCACTTCACTTTATTTCAGTTTCTTATTTAAATTTTTGTGAATATAATAATACTAAGCGAATGTGTCAAGGTAAGCATCAATAAGAACGAGTTTTATTCAATTTCAAAATCGAATGCAATTTATACATATTTATCTGAATTTACCTGAAGGCGAATTTATCTTTCTAGTTACCATGACGAGGATAGGAAGCCGATGGCTTATCAAAGATCCCTCCAATTGTCCTCATGATTTTATTGAGCTGAAATTCAGTGGTGTTTTTGTATTCATGGCTTCGGCGGGTAGGCGGTTCTAATGACATCAGTAAAACCTATCATGTCTGGTTTACAGTATTGTTAACCCTGTGACCCTCAACTGTTCTTGGTATGAGAGAAGACTTAAGTTCTGAAATGATTTGAGTCGTCCTGTGTGGAACTTCCTCCAAAGTAGGTATGTCTTTCTGAAGATACGGTCTCCATACTTCTATATAATAGTCCAAGTTGGGGAACACCAGAGATTTATAAAGTTGTATAACTACTTTATTTTCCTAGAAGTCGAAGATTCGTTAGACTATTCCTAGATTAGTAAACTTTCTTTTTTACTGCAGTTTGAGTGAATTTTGGATTCTGACTCCAAGGTACTTTTCTTTGTCAATCTGGTGCAGGGCAATGTTGTTAACTTGGTAGTTGTGATGCACATTATTATGCCCCACATGCAAGGTGTTGGATTTTTCGATATTAAAGTGATTAAATGATTTATAATGTTTTAAAGCTATAAATGCTCATATAAGTGGGATTCTCAGAATGTGTATGGTACAGATTCTGTACTACAGATGGGTTCTTTCTCGATTCACAATCGAGAATCCCAGTTTGTGAAAAATGGCCGCATTCAAAATATAGCTAAAAAAAACACTCTAAAACAGTTGCATTCTTTCTAAAATCAGATATTATATACCTCGCCATGCCCTGATAACGTTCTATTACTCTCATCTATCCTTATCTCAATTATGGTATCTGTGCTTGGGAGGGTTCTTCCCAAAATCATCTGCGTCCTCTAATTAATCAACACAAATTAGCTATTAGAACAGTAACAAACTCTGGCCCCAGACAGCACTCGGCTCCCCTACTTAATCTTTGAATATGCCCAGACCCCTATGCGCACCACACTAGAAACAAATATATATTTGATATTCCAAGAGTGCGACTAGAAATTAATGCTCTGCAAATCAAGTGTCCCAAAATGTGAAATGACCTTCCCAATGAGGTCAAAGACTGCGCTATGTCTTTCTATTAACAAACATTAATGATTACCGACCAACTTGTATAACTCCTTCATTTATGGTCAGCTGTAAGGGAGCCTGACAGCTGAGTAGACAGCGCTCAGGGTTCATAGTTCTGGGTTCGATCCCCGGTAGATTCGAAAACAAATGGGCAAAGTTTCTTTCACCCTGATGCCCCTGTTACCTAACAGTAAATAAGTACATGGGAGTTAGACAGCTGCTACGGGCTGCTTCCTGGGGGTGTATAACAAAAAGGAGGCCTGGACGAGGACCGGGCCGCGGGGACGCTAAGCCCCGAAATCATCTCAAGATAACCTCAAGATGGTAAAGTAGGAAATGATAAGGATGTTGAAGCCTTATAAAGAGATCTACAAGAACTCCACAAATGGTCAGATGACTGGCAAATGCTTTTTAATGTTGACAACTGCAAGACCCTGCATGTGGGGCATAACAACCCACGCCACAACTATCAAATCAATAACATTACAGTACAGCAGATTGATGAAGAACAGGACCTTGGCGTCAAAATCCACCACCCAATGAAAGTTGCACAGCAGGTAGGGGCAGCAGTCAAACAAGCTAACCAACTCCTTGGAATACTCAAGTGTACTTGTGACTATAAGGAAAAGAAGGTTCAACTGTATAAATCTCTGGTGCGACCCTATATGGATTACTGTATACATGAATGGAGACTTCATTTCCAGAAGGACATAGCTGCTCTGGAGAAGGTGCAACACCGGGCAACAAAAATCATTCCAGAGCTAAGTCATCTCCCGTATCAGGAACGCTTGAAGACCACAGGGCTATTAATACTGAAAACCAGGCATGACAGGGCATATCTCACTGAAACTTTTAAAATACTGAACAAGTTTGAAGATGTTGATCCGGATATTTTCTTCAGTTCAGATGTAACACAAACATATGGAGCAACGGTTTCAAGCTCAACCAGCCACAAAGTAGGACTGAGAACAGATGCTTTTACATCCACAGGGTTATTAACTCATGGAACCGCCTACCCGACGAAGCCGTAACATCCAAAACTGTGTTGAGTTAAAATATACCTAGAAAAGATCAAGCTAGGCAAATGGGGAGACCTTCGATAAGCCGCCGGCTTCCTGTCCTCGTCGAGGCCATTAAGGTTAGTGGCTCTCAGGTAAATATATACACAGGTTGCCTGTCCCCCAACAAAACGAACTATAAAATGGTAGCAAACTGTCAGTGGGAGAATGCTACAGGGCAGGCATAGCAACAGCAGAGGAAACTTGTAGCTGAAGCCCATCTTTTATAACAAAGGATTTTAACCACAAGACAACAGATTGAGTGAATCTAACATCACAATTGGAAAAACACTTTTTTGACCTAGTACAGGACTCATTTCTCATCCAGCACGTGACAGCCCGCCCGAGATAACAGCATTCTAGACATTGTGCTAACATCAGAAGTGGGCATGATCGATCACATCCAGGTAGGAGAGAAGCTCACGCCTTCATGTGACCACTATGGAATACAATTAGTTGCGTTTTAGTGGCTTTGGAAGAATGTAAAAATATCAATCTTATGTAATCTCACAATTCTATTGCACCTTCTTTTGAATAAAAATTATTATTATTATTATTATTATTATTATTATTATTATTATTATTATTATTATTATTATTATTATTATTATTATTATTATTATTATTATTATTATTGTTGTTGTTGTTGTAACATCAAAACGGCGAGAAAGGAAATTCAAAATCCATCGTGGAAGTGGTTAGGAGATAAAGACAGCAGTTTATAGTTTCCTTGATCTCCTTATTGCCACGTATTCAAAATCACGTGACAATAAGGGGAAGAAAACGAAAAAGAACTAGATGTATGACAAAGGCAGTAAAGTAAGCTGTCACGATTCTCGCATCATAAAAATAAAAATAAAATAAAATGTTTATTTAGGTAAGGTACATACATACAATAAATTTTTACAAAGATTGGTCGACTTATAGGTAGAGCTAGTACATACAATGCCTAAAGCCACTATTACGCAAAGCGTTTCGGGTTTCATTTGGCTGTTGAGTTATTATTTTTTTATATAAAAAGTTCTTGCATTTTTTGTACAGCCACTAACAAGCATAGAGTTTCGGGCAAGTCTTTAATCCTAATTTTCACACACACACATACAAAGCCAGTCACTTTGACTGGACGGTAGAACGACAGTCTCCTTTCACGCAGGTCAGCGTTAAATCCCCGACCGTCCATATAGTTGAGCACCATTCCTTCCCCGTCGTCCCATCCCAAATCCTTATCCTGCCACCCCCCCCCCCCTCCTTCCAAGTGCTATAAAGTCGTAATGGCTTGGCGCTTTTTTTTATAGATAGGGTCATGGCCAGATTGTGCAGACGACCGCCCGAGTCATGACGGTCTCCAGGTCAATTCCACTGAAGTTGGTAAATCTTCATTTAAAGGTGTTCACTTAGGCTGGTAGGTACATTGGAGCCATGCCTTCCTACAGGTCGATGTTCGATCCTGAATAGTCTAATGATTGGGCATCGTTCCTTCACATCAGGAAGTCATGGCCAGGTTGTGGGGACGACCGCCGGAGTCCTGACGGTCTGTCTCCAGCTTCAGCCCAGATTAATCAGGACTTCCTTTCGTTATATAACAAAAAGTGCTGGGAAGACGGGACACCACGAGCGTAGCTTTCATCCTGTAACAACACTTAGGTATAATTACTTAGGTAATTACACACATCCCCAGGAAGCAGCCCGTAGCAGCTGTCAAGCTTCCAGGTTCCTGTATTTACTGCTAGATGAACAAGGGCATCAGGGTGAAAGTCCCTGATGTGAAAGAAACTGCCCACTTGTTTTCGCCTCGCCCGGGAATCGAACCCGGACCCTTAGGACTACGAACCCCGAGCGCTGTGTAACCAGCCGTCAGACCCCTATTAGTTGGTGTATATAAGACTCGCTGCTCATCTTCACCGCCTGCAGAGATCTTCTGAACTCACCGGACACCCAATGGTGTCCGGGTCAGGAAGAAATAGTGGAACATTTCCTGCAGCGCTGTCCACTGTCCCGCGCCGTTCAGACATGTCTCCGCTGCGAGGTTCCACATCCAAAATTCCCGCCACAAGCTTCCCATTCTCCTCAACGGCCACCATGACCTGCACGAGGTCTCGCGTTAAGACGCCCTGCTTCTGATATTCCTCTTCATGCAGCCAGCACATACACGTGTGTAAATAGTACAACTGGGGTCCATAAGACTCCCAGCTGAAGCATCGGGAGTCTCCAGCTACGCTTGGATTGACAGGGTACATATAGTCAGTGCTCTAGCTGCCCCTAACTTATCAACAACAACAAACATCTTGGACTAGACGTCCTTTTATTTACTTTTTACATCCCTAAATCAGCAACAACATTTACTTTTTCTTTCAAAGTAAGTCTCCCTTATATTATGTTAATGATATGTAAATATTTATGCTAATATATATGCCTCAAGATTTCCTAGATGTGGTAAATGAAAAGAATTTACAAAAATAGCTAATAAATGGTTCTCAACAATAATCACCCACATTTATGTTATTTATATATACTGTACAAGAGTTCTTATATTCTTGTAAAGTCACTTGCACGCATAGCGTTTCGGGCAGGTCCTTAATCCTAATTTTCCTCGGAATATGACCCACATTTAATATATAAAGTTCTAATGGCTTTACAAGAATGTAAAACTTCAGGTCTCTGTGGGTCCGTCTAATTACCGCAAGATACCACAAGCTACACAAGCTTCACAAAGCTTCCTGGCAATACGTTAGTAATGAATAAATATGATAGGTTAGGCTGACCTAACCTAACCTAACCGACGCTTGGATCGTCGACTTGATTTGGCGTCACCAGCTTTTTATTTTCATCTAATTTCTTAATTAAAAGATATTGTTTCAGATTAAAATTATGTTTTTTCGTGTTGTACATTCAGCACCAACATTATAATGAGTAAATATATCATATTTATTCATTACTAACGTATTGCCAGGAAGCTTTGTGAAGCTTGTGTAGCTTGTGGTAGCTTGCGGTAATTAGACGGACCGGTCTCTGTACTCTAATGAACCCAATGTACTTACTTGTATATAAATAAATAATACTTAGTCAACTTTAAGCAGTCTCCGTGGTGTATTGGTAAGACACTTGCCTGGCGTTCCGCGAGCACTTTGTCATGAGTTCGTATCCTGGCCAGGGAGGATTTACTGGGCGCAAATCCTTAACTGTAGCCTCTGTTTAACTCAACAGTAAAATGTGTACTTGGATGAAAAAACGATTCTTCGCGGCAGGGATCATATTCCAGGAACCTGCCCGAAACGCTACGCGTACTAGTGGCTGTACAAGAATGTAACAACTCTTGTATATATCTAAAAAAAAAAAAATAATAATTTGTTTTGTCAGAGGACAGGTAGCATGTGTATTTATATACTGGTATATTAGGCTTGTATCAAGGTCGCCCCCAAGATCAAACTACTGGCCCTTACTTAAAATGCAACTCTACAACAATTGCTAAATTCCCAGGTACCTATTTACTGCTAGATGAACTGAGACATTAGGTGAAGGGAAATGTGCCCAACTATTTCTGTTCAATTGGGAAACCCTGGATTCCCAATTGTAAGTTGAGAGCAAAGCCGATTCCCAGGATGTAACTGAACTATGTTGGTAACCTATATAATAAAACTCTGTATAATAACAAAAATAATTCATTTTTGTTACCCAGTAGGTTAAGATAAGATCAAGATAAGATTTTAATTTTAGATGTTTAATGAGTAGTGTTGAGATCGTGACAATTCTTGGTCCTTTTTTTAACCCTATTACATTAAACACATGGAGTAGAGAATTTTGTACATGGTATATATATGAATTTCATTATACAGTACTGTACTACCTGTGTATTTTGCATCTGTTATCAGTATGACACTACACAATATAGTTTATAGATTTGTAATTTATATCTTGAGTTAGGCTGTACGTCAGGCTGCGAGCAGCCACGTCCAACAGCCTGGTTGATCAGTCTGGCAACCAGGAGGCCTGGTCGACGACCGGGCCGCGGGGACGCAAAGCCCCGGAAGCACCTCAAGGTAACCTCAAGGTAAGGTAGGTCTGAAAATCCCTGTGTGAACTGTCAGATATATGTTGCTACCATCAATCATCACACAGGCATATCTTCATAGTTTCATTCTTAAATGTGAATTTAAAAGTGGTATATTTAATATTTTTAACAGTTTTGTATACCCATACTATAAAGATAACTATGAATACATTAAGAATGTGTGATGTATTCATTAGTCTCTAAAAGTCCCAAAAAGTCTTTAAAAGTCCCTGTCGGGTTTGTCCTTGAGTTGCAATTAGGAATTCTGAGTTTGAATCCTGTGGGACAGAAATGATTAGGAGCTTTTCCTATCACCTAATGGGCCTACTCACCTAACAGCAAATTGGTACCCAATAGTTAGTAATGTATAATCTATACATTACTAACCTAGTAATGTTGTCATGTTTCTCAACAGGAAAAATGACAACTCAAAAGCAGGAATTTTGATAACACATCAGGTACAAAAGGATAAAAAGCAGGGCATAAAAAGCTAGACCACGCTTTCCTTTAGTCACTGATAGGTAAACACTCCTACCAATACCAATGCATTCATCATTGCCAATGATGAATGCTACTTACCAGCATCATTACCAATACTAGCACTAGATAAACTACTACTTTTAACATTATTATACCACTTTTAGTAATTGTGTGTATGTGATTGAGAGGATACTCAATCCTCTTTCTTTCATTTATAAATTTGCACCTCATTACATCTTCATTTACATTTGTATCTCTTTCATTTTCAAAACCCTGTTCTAAAACTTCCTGGACACATGTAATAGAACCATTATCACCATACCAGAAATAAATACCTCTTTGATATCCCCAGAGTCAAACTTAATTTGTGTAAACACTATACAAATAGAGGGCCCTTGTCTGTGAAACTCACTCCCTAACAAATTTAAAAGCTGTCCAACTTTTGTCTCATTCAAATATAAAACCAATAATTTCATTTCATAGTTTCCTACCTAGTGCTTTATACTCACACTGTATCTATTGCATCCCAATTCCCCAATACTGTATATGTACCTAAGCCATACAATCTTTACCTTTGTCATCATTGCTATCATTGTATATCATGGTTGTTATATTGAGTGCATATTTTACTGCATTATTCCTTGAAATGATCCTCAAATTGTGCTACAATGAACCAGTTGATCACATTCAAATTTTACCCTAATGTACCTACTAATCTTTGTCATTACTGTATTGTGTATTGTCATTATTGTGTATAAATCTGATCTTTGTGTATTGTGTCAAATATTCTTACAATGTACTTGTAAACATTTTTGTAAATTTTTCTGGAAATTACCTACATAAAATTATCTATTAGATAAACCATTGCACTGAGCACCTGTTTTTGGCAAAAACTTCAAAGTGCAATTGTTAAGGACATATTTTTGTTGTTTTTATAAATGTTCAGGTAAAGTTGATGTCAAAATGTTTCCAAACTAAACTATTTTCATTTCAAAACACAAAGAGTAATGAATACATTAAAAAACATTAAAATATAGCCTAATTAAACAAATTTACAACTCTGAAAACGACATTTGTTGGCTGGCGCAGTTGAGGGGGTTAAGGACATGCCTGAAATGTTATGCATGCTAGTGGCTTTACAAGAATGTAAAATCATAATTGCTATGTACTCTCTTAACCCCCAATGTACCTTCTTGTATATAAATAAATACTCTACTAGAAGGCATGGTATTCAACAACACATATTACAGTACAATATATTCTTAATAAATTATGGAGTGGTAAGACATTTGAGATGAAGCCATAGCTGGGCATGAGGCACTAGGGTACTCAGGGAGGAGAGGAGTAGATTTTCTCCTGATGCTGATATAAAGCCTGTTTATTAATTTCACCCATATTGGCTAACCCTAGTCAATTTTAGGAATCTTTGGTATTGGAAGGCCATAGACCAATAAGAATTACCACAGTGTCTGTTCATTCTAGGCATTGTGATGGGTGGATATTGGCAAGGAACAGTCATAGTTGTAATGTCTGGCAGGTCATTATACTTTAGTACCACTACCACCTACCTCTACCTGCTCATCCTCCTACACCTTTACACCAGCCTGCCCTCATTATTCCAGCTTAATCCTTGAACTGCACTTTGTATTTTAGGTGTCTTTCTAGGTGTGCATCATTTTTTTTTATTCTTTCTCCTTTTTATATCATAAAACATTTATTTCTGATGTTGGGAAAAATAACCAAAAAAATAAAATTATTTTGGCCATAGAGGAAAAAGTGTTGATGACATCATGTTCTGAAAATGTATTTTCAAGTAAACTATTTGTAATAGATTTCTATTACAGGGGAAGGAAGATATTTAGAAATATCTTCTTGCCCCATAAGTTTTTTGTTATTTAGAAACTTTCAATATTCAGAGGCACATTAAATTATTCACAGATGGTAGGAGCACCATGAGTCTATCATTTGACAATGACAGCAGTTTAAGGGTTAAACTCATCATATTTCATGTGATCAATGCATCCCCGGTATTTATTAACTACTCTGTACATATCCTTAGATATGCTTGCCTAGGTATACCTCTCTTGATTAGTTAGTTAAAACATTTAGTTGTTGGACAAAATTAATTTAAAGAGCAAATACCTGTAGTAATTTTAAGACAATAAAATGCAGTTTATTTATTTATAAATCATTTATTACCAGTGCATTCACTATGCATTCATTACCAGTGCATTCACATTTATTACTAAATTGCATTCCATTTATTTATTTATAAATAAATAGTGCAGTTTATTTATAAATAAATAATAAATATTTTTTGCTCTTAAGAATGTTCTTATGAAGAACATAAGAGGAAGGGACAATTGTAGGGAGAGGAGTTACACATAAATGAAGCCACTACCATGCAAAGCATTTTGGCCAGCCATTTGGCTAAGATAGATCCTGTATATACTGTACAGTAATATATGCAATGAGAGAAAAAAATGGAAGATCATAATGAGACAGGTTGTTTCTTGATACTTCTTTTGAATACTGAATATTAAATATTTCACATTTTTTATTTTGCTAGGAATGTAATTTGCTGCTGTAATGTTGCCCAGCCATAGAAATACAATCTTGCTAATCAACACAAGATGTTTGAGACTTAATGTCAGAAGTTTTGGATATAACTGAAGTATAGTACTGTACTGCACAAAATTTTGTATTAGTTTAACAAGTTAATAGGATTATTACATACTGTAAAATATTATATGTGTAGGCTTATTTGAAAATAATGTGCAATGTTTATACTCTATACTTAATTTTATTTGTTGTGCTGTATAATGATTTTGTAGTAGTTAAGCTAAAAAAAGCACATGATATTTATATTGTTTGTCTGTTTTGCAGGTTCACATGATTTACACACTGAGACGAATCCTACATAGAAGACTCCTATCAAGAACATTTCCAATTAGTGTATCAAAAATGGCAAAGAGCAAGTTTGAGTATGTCAAGTCCTTTGAAACAGAAGATAAACTTGATCCCAGACACTGGATTGTTGTTGCTCTACAGTGTCAGAACTATGATAGACTTTCTGAAGAACATGGCTTTGAACACCCTAATGATCTTCGCTTTATTCATCTCATGGAAGCTTCAGCAAAATCAGTAATGGAAGATTTCAAGGAGCTGGTGTTGGGATATGGTTTTGCAGGAGAGTTTAGCTTTGTATTTCCAAAAAGTACAACATTGTATAAAAGAAGAGGTCCCAAACTTTTAACCAATTTGTGCAGTTTAATGGCATCATCTTTAGTACACAAATGGACAAATTATTTGGGATCTGTATCACTTCGTTTTTCACCAGTAATTGAGGGTACAATTCATTTGCTTCCAGATGATCAGGTATTACGGGATTACATGACACAGCGTCAGCTTGCGTGTCATTATAATAACCTGTATAATACTGTATTTTGGGCATTAGTGTTGAAAGTTGGACTCTCTCCCGAGGATGCAACTAACACACTGAAAGGAACAAATGAAGGGGAGCAAAATGAAATACTTTTCTCAAAGTGCAAAATGAATTACAATAATGAGAATGATGTGTTTAAAAAAGGATCTATTGTTTTGCGCACTTGGAAACAAACACCAGTAACGGCTCCAGATGGTCTGGTAAATATTCGCAACCAAAGTTGCATTGTCAATACATACACAGATTTCAGTAAGGACAATTTTTGGAAAGAAATATTTATTCTTGAACAGCCTACAAAGACAAATGCAAAAACAAATTATTTGAAAGCCTTTGAAAAGAAAGAAAAATTGCTACCACACGCTTGGATAGTTGTACGAATTGATGGAAAAGGTTTCCACAAATTTTCAGAGCGGCATAATTTTGTGAAGCCCAATGATAATAGATCAATAGAGCTAATGAACAGAGCCGCTTTGGAAATAATGCAGCAATTCCCAGATGTTATTTTGTCGTATGGCCAAAGTGATGAATATTCTTTTGTCATTGATAGATATTCAAAGATGATGGAGCGAAATGGAAACAAAATAATGTCCAGCATTGTTAGTTTGTTTGCAGCTATGTATGTGTACAATTGGCATAGTGTCTTTGGAAATGTTATATTAGAATACAGCCCAGCATTTGATGCCCGTGTAGTGCTGTATCCAAATAATTCGTGTTTACGTGATTACTTGAGTTGGCGGCAGGCAGATTGTCATATTAATAATATGTACAACACATGCTTTTGGATGTTGGTGCAGAATGGTAAATATTCTCGTCAGGAAGCAGAAGAGAGATTACGAGGTACATTCTCTAAAGATAAGAGGGCCATTCTTCTGGATGAATTTAAGCAAGAGTATGATTTAGAGGATTCACTCTACCGAAAAGGAACCATAATGTTTAGACAGGAGTTTGCAAGAGACACCACATCAGATCACCTGGCCACAAACAATACAAGGCACACCAGTGCTGATGGTAACATGAGAATATCTTCCCAAGCTTCCTCTGATGAGGTGGAGAGAGTAAATTCTATTAGTGACATAGGTTCTGTTTCTAGAGATCACATAGATATAATTGGAGATCAGTTTTGGACAGAACGGCCATGGATCCTGGGTACAGAGCGCTGTACCAAAACTGTGGATGATCTTGATAATTAATAATCAGGGCTGTATTTTTTGTTTCTAAATAAAACAAAAGAATTATACAGGGGTACACTAATTCCAATTTTAACTAAAATTAGGATTTATACCATATTTCAGTTGTTACCTGTACAAAGAATGTTTCATGCAATTTTAGCTTTTATATATCACCTCAGTAAATACAACTCCAAGAATAGCTTTGCTTATTTCCCTTATTTATAAATACTTAGTACTGTACAGTAATTTCAAATGCAATCAGTTTAGGTAAATTACACATGAAGTGCATTCATCTGTATGCACCTCAGACAAAGACTATGGTATGCACCACAGTCCCTGTGGCGTAGTGGTAGACGCCACCTAGTGTTTCACGAGCGCTTTGTCCTGGGTTCGTATCCTGGCCGGGGAAGATTTACTGGGCGCAAATCCTTAACTGTAGCCTCTTTTTCACCCAGCAGTAAAATGGATACCTGGTTGTTAAACGATTTGGCGGGATCGTATTCCGGTGAACATACGATTAAGGACTTGCCCGAAACGCTATGCATGCTAGTGGTTGTACAAGTATATAGAATGTAAGAACTCTTGTGTATGTGTATGTATGTGTGTGTGTGTGTGTGTGTGTGTATATATATATATATATATATATATAAAATCCTTGGGAATAATGGTGTGAACATTTAACAAACTGCCAGCTTCCTGCCCCCATCAAGGCCTCTAGAGATGATAGCCCTACTGTAATTCAGTAAAGTAATGGTGGGGAAGATCTAAGGGCATTATTCCACAATGTATCTGTGGAACAGAGAAATGAGAGAGTAGAGTTCAGTTGTCAGTTAGCAGTAGACACAAAGGGTCTGCAGGGACATTGCCATTGTAGCTATTGGAACCAAAAGATCCAATGTTCAGTTCTTGAAGCAGGACAATTTTTTGCATGTTTCATCTAGCATTAAATTTTTACAACCAAAAGATCCAATGTTCAGTTCTTGAAGCAGGACAATTTTTTGCATGTTTCATCTAGCATTAAATTTTTACCCAGAAGTTAGTCAATTGTTATGGGTTGTACACACAGAAATCACAATAGTGTGATGTATCAAATGAACACATCCACAAGGGCCGTGACGAGGGTTTGAATCTACGTCCAAGAAGATCCCAGATGCGCCTTAATCGACTGAGCTACGACATGGTAATAAGAATTGCAACTGGGAAATCAACTTGACCTACCACGGATCGTTCAATGAAATAAGGGCGAAGAGGTAGAATAGCTTATTGGCAGAGCTTGGGTGCCTGGGGGAATTGTGTAAAACCCTGGTTTGTGTCTCGGAGAGACTGCAGGATCCGTGATGGGTCAAGTTGATTTCCCGGTTGCAATTCTTATTACCATGTTGTAGCTCAGTCGATTAAGGCGTGTCTGGTATCCTCTCAGACGTAGGTTCAAACCCTCATCACAGCCTTTGTGGATTTGTTCATCTGCTATGGGTTGTATTCTAAGAAGGTACAAAGAACTAGGCCTAAGGAGACCTCTTGTCTACAACATTTGGAAATAAAATCAAATAAAAAGCTGCTGCGGTACTAACATTAAACATAAGTGAAGCGGAGGAATACAGAGTTGGAGAAGCAGCAGAACAATGTTAGGTAATTCATCAGTTAGGCCAGAAACAAGTTTAGATGAGAGGTGTGAGGTAAATGTATTTGACAGCATTTTGTACTGGATAAGAATTTATGAACAGGAACAGCCACCCAAAATGAGCAAAACTACACCAGACAATGATGACACACTTTGAAGTGCTGAATTAACTAAGTGAAATAATTTTTTGAACCTGTACTGTTGTTGGTTGCAACGACAATCGAGGGATCAGATGTGCCCAACCTGTACTGTACTCTCACAAACCCAATGTACCTTTGTATATAAATAAATAACATGAAATAAATTCAAATCTAGTTATATTGATATTGACAGAGGACAGATTCAAATATGTAAATGACTGGAATTCGCTTCATTACACCCTCAAGAGAGACTTGCGTTCAACTCCCTGGGGTCGCTCCTGTCTCTATCTTAGGCAATCCACGTGTGTGATTCCCTTCAAGAGTTTTGCCGTGTGATGAGGTTGCTTACGTGGGATTCCTTGGAACTGGTGGGGGTTGCCTCTTACCCCCCCCCCCCCTCTCCAGGCGTTGGAAATGCAAAGTGGAACGAACATAAGGCACACCCCCCTTTCTGCCCTGGTCAGCGCTCGGCCTCCCTTGCTTCCCTGGTAAGTGGTATGAGCCTAAACTTTTAAAAACAATGGTGCATGGTAAATGAAACGACTTCTCCATTACAGGCTTGTGAGGTGGGCGGCCATGCCCCGAGTCGGAATGTGATGGAAGATCGGGATACGTTGGGTCCAGACCAGATAAATTCAGGTAAATATCAAGGCAAATGAAGATACCTTCGACAAGCCGCCGGCTTTCTGTCCTCGTCGATGGTACTAGTGTTAGTGGCTCTCAGGTAATATAAAGACCATTACCATTTCATGCCACTACAAACATTTAAGTATCCCCTATTATTTATTTTCTTTAATAATATTTTAGAAAGTTGATGTCGAAATATTTTATGGTAAACATAATTGAAGGCAATATTTCCCTAAATTTACTTGAAATTTACCTGTGGGCCACTAACATTCCGGTGGCCTCGACGAGGATAGGAATTTGGCGGCTTGTCAAAAGTCTCCCAATTTGTCTTGATAATTAGTCTAGCTGAATTTTAAAGTTTAGCAGGGTTTTGGCATTTGCGGTTCCGTGGGTTCATAATCCTGTGGGCGAATAATAAGTCTCCGTGGTGTAGTGGTAAGACACTCGCCTGGCGTTTCGCGAGCACTATGTCATGGGTTCGTATCCTGGCCGGGGAGGATTTACCGGGCGCAATTCCTTAACTGTAGCCTCTGTTTAACGCAACAGTAAAATGTGTACTTGGATGAAAAATCGATTCTACGCGGCAGGGGATCGTATTCCAGGGACCATAGGATTAAGGACCTGCCCGAAACGCTACGCGTACTAGTGGCTGTACAAGAATGTAACAACTCTTGTATATATCTCAAAAAAAAAAAAAAAAGTTAAAAGAAAAACCAAGAAATAAGAAATATCTAATTAACATATATAATACATCGCACTCATCAAACACAAGACATGTTTGTGTTTGTAAATATTTAATTCAAAATTATCTAATACCACTGCGGTCTATTGGAAGGGGGAGGGAGCATGATAAACCGAAATATAAACTAGCTCACCGCCTATGTAAACTGCGTCCTGCTTTAACTTGGAGGCTTATTGTGGCCGTTTTCGAACCCAATGTTAACATTATACTAAAATATTCATTAAAATGTGTAACTAATAATAATTTATTTAGGAAAAGTACATAGTTGAAGAGTTACAGTACAAACATTCTGTTTGATTTAAAGATAGAGGTAGTACATACAATACCTAAAGTCACTAGTACGCATAGCGTTTCGGGCGACTAGTGTATCAAGATTGTATCTTGCTTAAATAGATAAAAATTGGGGTTCAGTTCCTGAACTCATTAATTATGCCTCTGTAACCTTTTCCATTATCGCCTACAATATGGGTATGAGTTACATAATAATAATTGATTCATTAGTTCGTTAATAAATGAACTATAGAATATAATTATTATATTTAATACTAAATTGTGTATACTTATGCCTTTCATCATTGTCACCTGAATAGTGTATATCATTTGATTTATTTAATGAACGTCAAGTTCAAGTATGTTTATTGAGACAAGAAAAAATACATCTTAAAGGGGGTAGAGTAGCTTAGGCTATTTCTACAACCCCCCCCCCCCCCACCATGAACGTGATATATGTTAGCATACTTAATAATATTAATAATTATTATTATTATTATTTTATTTACAAATATGCAATAGAGTAATATACATTGTTTAATAATTGTTACAATGCATATTTAATTAAATTTAAATATGTTTATTGATGTATAAAATGCACGCAAAGGGATGACTGTGTGTATTACACACACACACAGTCTACAGAAGGCCTATTGGCCCGTATTTTCTCTTCTGCTTCTATGTTGGTTCGGGGTCTTGAAGTGGGTAGAATATAGTTATGTGTTAATTGGCTGTTGATTGCTGGTGTTGACTTTTTGATGTGTAGTGCCTCGCTGATGTCGAGTCGCATGCTATCACTGTATCTATCGATGATTTCTGTGTTGCTTGTTAAGATTTCTCTGGTGATGGTCTTGTTGTGAGAGGAGATTATATGTTCCTTGACGGAGCCCTGTTGTTTGTGCACTGTTAATCGCCTAGAAAGAGACGTTGTTGTCTTGCCTATATACTGAGATCTTTCGGGCTGACAGTCCCCAAGTGGGCATGTGAAGGCATAGACGACGTTGGTCTCCTTCAAGGCGTTCTGTTTGGTGTCTGGAGAGTTTTTCATGAGTAGGTTGGCCGTTTTCTTGTTTTTGTAGTAAACTGTCAATTGTATCTTCTGATTTTTGTCTGTAGGGATAACGTTCCTATTAATATCTTTCAGGACACTTTCCTCCGTTTTATGAGCCGCCGAAATGTTGTTGTTATAGATTCAGCTACTCGGAACAAGTTCCAAGTAGCACGGGCTATGGTGAGCCCGTAACTTACCTGGCACAGGAGCGGTGCCAATGTCGCCGCCGCCGAAAGGAAGTTTGATCTTGTAAAACAGTCTAATAGGGTTAGTTGACTCTTCAGAGGTTGCATGGCGTTTCACCTTTCTTTTTATGACGTCTTCAACACACACACACACACACACACACACACACACACACACACACACACACACACACACACACACACACACACACACACATATATATATATATATATATATATATATATATATATATATATATATATATATATATATAGACACACATTACAACAATAAACATATTACCGAACATTGTGAGTTATAAACATATATATTTCTTGTATAATTAATAAGGGCACTAATACGTAAAGCGTTTCGGGCAGCATTTAGGCAAGTGGGTTGGTTGCCTCCTGGGAAGATTCAGTCGTTGTCCTACAGCGGAACCTCGATATAATTCTAGAAGTACACTATACGCGTCGTGTACCGGACAATGAGAAAAAAGGGTCTTACAGTCTCCGTGGTGTAGTGGTAAGACTGGCGTTCCGCGAGCGCTATGTCCTGGG